AAATATTGTATATAATATAACCTCCATGTAAGTTGCGTGCAAACAAATCAGGTTGAACACTCAATAAATAGGTCATCTGGAGGAGCCATAAACTAATCCAACTGCATTTAAGTTTTGCCTTTCAGGTACCACTGAAGCAATAGCATCAGTGGGTGTTGGTTCCTCTTGCTTTCTAAGTTAATTAAGCTATCACTTCGTTTGATCATAGCTCATGTGCCATGTTCTTTAGCTGCAATCCTTAGCATACTTGCTTATTTAAAAGTTAAGACACTAAAATCAATGGAAAATCAATGGGACTTCAGAGTAACCTTATTAAGTGATAGGGTGTAACACAGGGATTTATTGAGTGTTATAGATGCTAACTACAAAGACTTGGATAAGATCAGCTGTACCATACTCTGATGGGCCATATAAAGAATAATCATGAGAGAAGATAATAGCAGATAATGACTGTTCCAACAGAGGAATTGACCAATCTAAAGAGAAGAGTGGGAGAAGAAATTGACTGGGGTGGCAAGCGCTAGGAAAACTGCCAGTTAATTAAAGAGCTGTAAGTGGCTATAATTAAGGATGACAAGAAGGGGAGAGGTAATTTGCAGGCAGTAAACTAGGCCATAACTAGCAAAGAGCCTGGGGGCCCTTTAAATGAAATATGACATCAACACGAACATTGAATCAACCAAAACAGATGCCATCAATTTTACGTGTTCACGGATCTTTAGCATAGCTACATCTTTAGCAATGGACATTAATTATTTTCCTGTGGTGCTTTAGACATAGGAATTGATTTCTAATGAGAATTTATTTCCCATTAGAGTAGATAACCACACTCAAAGTACCCTTGGCATATACATAAATGTATTTTCCTTTATGCTTTACCAAATAGTGAGATGTAAAAATATGGGAAGGACCAGAAGTAATATTCCCAGATTGTGAAATTATAGTGCAAAAGTGATTTCATGATTCAAAATCAAAACAATCATGTGAATTTTAGAGCTATCAACCTATTAAAAAGAATTATGATCAATCATTTCCATTTTAGTCAATCAATGTTGAAGTGTTTAAAATAATAATTGTAAAACAAATAAAATTAACTTACAATTTTAATAAAAATATTCTCACTCGTTGTTAGAAGGAAATGTCATCCTTAATATTTCCTTTCTAAGCTTCCTATTACATTAGCACCCTAGAACCAAAACCATAAAGTATGCTTATTTCTAGTTCCTCTAGATATGCCAATACCAGAAAAGAACTATTAATTTTCTGACTTTTCAGTCAGTTCCCAGAATGCTTTGAGTATGAGACAGAATGTAGGACGGGTTGCCAAAATTTTAACTTGCGCCCGCAGCATTTTAACTCAAAGTGCACACTTACATGTTCCCAAATTTTGCCTCAGAGTGCCATTTCATGTGCTAATGCATTGGGGGCAGAGGCCACATTTACACCATACAGTTAAAGCACTCTTATACTACTTTAAACATTCATTGCGTCCCTCAAAGAATCTTGGGGACTGTAGCTTGTTGAGAGTTGTTAGGAGACCCCTATTCCCCACATATAGCTATGGTTCTCAAAGTAGCTTAACCAGTCCTTTTTTATTGGGGGGTGGATGACAGGGGTACGCATACCCCTAAACATTTTATGAATTTAGGTTTGGCCTCACTGAGGGGCAGAATTTCAATACGAGTAGAAAAATGAGAGTGCCGCTAAACATTTTTTTTAGGAAAAAAAAGCACTGAACTGAGCTTAACAACCAATCCCTCTTCCCAGGGAATTCTGAGACCCATAGCTCTGTGAGGGGGATAGGGGTCTCCTAAGAATTGTAAGCACCCTTAACTATCGTTCCCAGGATTCTTTGGAGGAAGCATTGACTGTTCAAACTCATATAAGAGTGCTTTAGATGTATGGTGCAGATATGGTGTGTGTGTGCAGAAAGGTGCTTCCTCCATACTTGTCCCACACAAGCTTCATTGGGCAAGGTGGGTGATGTGGAAATTCTGTGGTGGTGGTGGTGGGAATACCTGTGAGAATTGCCGGAACACCCATGTCTCTGTGGAGCTCTTTTGCCCTCTGTGAGGGAATACAAGCACTGGGTCCACCCATGTTTTTTCCCGCTGCCATGAGCTTAGGAACACATAATAGTTCTGCCTCTGCTGGAGTTCAAGTGGAGTCTGCTCCTGGCCCATTCTTCACCCTACCTTCTGGTCCTCCAAAACACTATGATTTTCAGTTTGGGGAATTCAATCCTGACAGCATTTTCTACCACTGATTAAAACGGGCCTGCCTTTGGCTTTCCGGTTCCGGTCTTCCTTAAGGGAGGCAGCTCCCACGACAGCAGATTGTTGGCGAAGGAAAAACAAGGATGATTACGGGTCATTATCCTTGCAATCCCAGCCCTCCAAGGACAGGGGGGAACGGGCTTCACTCGCAGTTCATCTTGATACCTGGCTCTCGCTCCAGCATGAAATGTGGGAGGCAGGGAGGTGCTGAGTGCAAAAGCACTTCGCCTACTGATAACCTTCCTATGCCACCACTAAGAAACAGAGGTACTCCTGTTAATTAGAGCTTAATTTGGACTAATGTACAGGCACATGCTAGAAAAGATGAGATCACAAACTGCGGAATGGATCCAACTGCAAGGTTGTTAAGGTTTGAACTTGAGAAAAAACTTCATTCAGTGTAAGAGACGTGGGGGGGGAGCCTACTGTTTCTCTATACAAGGTTTTTTTGTTTCATTTATGATTCAGCAACCTTCCCTGGAATGTTAGTTCAATTTATGTATGTGCAAGTGAGGAAAGAGGGCACGGGATTGCAGATACGGATTTTACGTAGATACGGAGAAATGCTTTATTTTGCAAAAGACATATATATATATATTTGTTCACATCTATTACTACACAGTGGAATACACAGCAGTGCCTGTGGAATTTCCAGGTGGCCTGCCATTTGGTCACTGACATCCAACCTGTACAATTTTTCTTCAGGCCATGTCCTGATGCTCAGAATTTGGGAAATTGTCATATTATTATTTATTACATTTCTTAACCACACAGAGGACAGGCAAGAAATCTAATAAATAAGATCAAAAGCTGCTGTTTTCTTATAGGACTCGGCCTGCTCTGCCACACCTGAAGACATCAGAATCTGAAACAATTAATTTACCAGAATAATATTATGAACAAGGTATGGAACTATAACAGGTAGATAGACAGCTCTAACAAGGCTCCACTGTGAAAAACTATTCAAATTGTGCTTTCGCATCCATACCATACATTTAAAGCACTTAGCCCGGGCCCCCCAGGCATGGAATCCTGGGAACTCTAGTTTGTTAAGAATGCTGGGATTTGTAGTTCTGCAAGGCAAACTGCTTGCAGGTTTCCCACGGACATCTGGTTGGCCAGTGTGAAAATGGAACACTAAACAAGATGGACCATTAGCATGATCCAGAAGGCTCTTCTTAGGTTCTTTTGTTCAAGTATTTTAGTTTAACTGGGACATAGGTCAGAAGTGAATTAAGCCTACAGAAATAAAGATTAAAGGGAGGCATAATAAGAGTGTAAATATTTAAACAGTTGCTTTCCAGATGAAATGTTTAGTGCTCTGTTGCCACAAAGAATAGGGTAAGAGGTTTTTATCATAGGAAAGTATCTTTATGTTAGACATTAGGGAAACTTTTAAATCCTATTTTATCCTTAGACAATGGAACAAAGGGACATTGTAGCATTTTCTTCATGGGAAGGTTTTCCCAGAAAGGTCAGCTGGATACATATCCCGGTATTGGTGTGGTAAATATTTTTTCAGGGTGAGGGATTGGATCTGACGGTGCTTAAAGATAACTTCCTGTGTATGATGAGAAAAATGCTGCATGGTAAGAATAGCCGATTGGTAGGAAGGTGCCTCTTTGGTGGAAGAGGGACCAAAGTCTCCAGCCTGAGATCAAAACAATGGACCTGTGCACTAGTATTAAACAGATGTCACACTGCCAGTTAAATGGCACTAAAAGAGCTTCTCTAGTTGTTGAAACAATGCAAAGCTGTTGTAAATTGATATGACTGAAATATGTTCATCAAACTGAACAACTGTATATGCACTTACTGATTTTGCATAACTTATCCTGTTAATCATGGAAAGAGTCTGCATATATGCAATAACTCTGCCGACTAGCCATCAGGAATCATGCTTGGCAACCGTGGGTTTTTAAGATTTTGTGAAGCATTGACATTTTCAAGATACATCCTCAAGGACTATAATTTTGGAATTTAAGAAGAGGAAGGTGGGGGAACACTGAGACTCTCAAGGTGCTGTTCTGTACCAATTCCTAAATGCTCTGTTCATCTACCAGATTACAGACAACCTTTGTTATCACTTGGAAAAGGAAAAGTTATTTGTTCAATGTTATGTCAAAAAGCCCAGATTACTGAACTTGTACCCTTAAGAAGGCCTGGATATCAGCAAAACAGTCAGCCAAATCATGAGACGCCAATGCTATTGATTAAACAACTTTATTCCAAAATGTGTATCAGATATTACAAGAATAAGTTCTGCTTTGGAGATAACATTGCTCCAATTATTTGTCTACAAGACATACTTGGTCAAACAATATGATCAGAATAACTATGGAAAAGATATGCAATGCAGAATAGTCACTCAGGAAACAGTAAATGTACAGAGGGAGTAGACTTAAAAGCGTGCTGCATAATTGTATAAGCAAATAACTATATAGATGTATTTAATATGTTTTATCTACATTATCTGAAGTACTAATTTGAAAATTGTCAACAACAACAAAAATAGTTACTACCATTCTTAAAACATTAAATCTTGACTGCCTACGATACCTATGAGGTAAAAACAATACAATAGAATTAAATTTCCGCAAAGCCCTGAGAAATACTTTTCTCAATTCAAAAACAGAGAGACAAATTCAGCATATGAACATAAGACAAACCTTGATGGATCTTCCCAAGGGTTCATGTAGTCCAGCACCCTATTTCTAACCATCGTCAGACATATGCCTCTGGGAACGTCATATGCAGGGCATGAAGCAATGATATCCACACCCTGTTTCTTTCCAGGCAACTGACATTCTGAAGATGAAGTTTCCACCTCCCATCATCCCTGACCACTGGACATGGTGTCTGCAAAGGCTGATGGGTCATTTTTATTGAGCTATCCATCACAATGCCAAGACTTCCTTTACAATTTACTCTGAGGTCAGCAAATTTAGATCCCATCAGGGTATATGTGAAATGGGATCTTTTTGCCCAAGTGTAAATCACTTGACAATTACACTGAATCTCATTTGTCATTTTCTTGCCTGTTTGGAGCTCTTTATTCAAACTTAATTTGGTGTCATTTGCAAACACAATTACTAATATACTCAAGAACATGCTTAATCCCTTATCTGAAATGCACAGATGAAGAACCAACTTTAACCTCTCTATAAATGCTTCTTATTAAGTTAGAAACTCTGAAATAACTCTGAAATAAGAAGTGGAAAATATATAATGGTGTGAAAATCAAATGTTATTCCAATTAAATGTAAAGAGAATAACTTAAAATGGGGGTGGGGGGAAACAGTCCAAAATGTTTTCTTTTCTTTTTTTTAGTTTTCATAAACTGTTGCTGGAAAACTGGAGATGATAAATGTTCCCTTCATAAATTAGTCTGCAAGGTGACTACACAGGTATCAACTCCCTCAACAAAAACATACCTATAAAAGCCATTAAATGCTTCTAAAAACTTTACTGAATTCTACACAGAATTCTCAAATTTAAAAGTTAAAAAATTGTTTTGTCCTGTATCAAACTGCAACAAACTTACAATTGGAAAATCACAAAGCATCCTATACATGGTACTGCATAAAACACGTATGATATAAATGTTTACTTGAAAAATGTTATGTTAGTATTCTTAAAAAGCTTATGTTTCATGTAATGAACAACAGCTCTAGAGTGTTTAAGTTTCTTTTTGAAAAGTAACAATTATTCTTGCCTGATATTTGTTACACTACTGTTGTAAAGTCAGTTAAATGGACCAGCTCAGACTGATCCAAACTACCTGGGTATGAAACATTCCCATCTGGTTCAGAAGTGTTGCCATTAACCCACTATATAATAGTAAACAAGATATTTTTGTTTCATAGAAACAACTAACATTTGCCTCCACTGGACAAATGGTCTATTTACAGTAACATCGGCTGCCTAACTGACAGCGAGCGTAGGTCATCGTTCACTCATGGAGCTTAATAGACTGGTGATCTCTGCTGAGTCGTTTTTCCTTTCAAGACCCGTCTTATCTGGAGAACGAAAGAGAATCAACTGGTTATCAACGTTCACCGATTCTGACATTATGAAAAAATACGTTACAGTTCCAAATACATCTACTAACACCTAACTCTCATTGAACGTGAGGAGACTTAACTTCCAAGGAAAACATGCCTAGTACAGTGGTACCTCTGGATGCGAACGGGATCTGTTCCAGAGCCCCGTTCACATCCTGAAGTGAACGTAAGACATGACTGCGTATCTGCGTGGGTTGCGTTTCGCCGCTTCCGTGCATGCGCGTGACGTCATTTTGAGCGTCTGCGCATGCGCAAACGGCGAAACATGGAAGTAACATGCTCTGTTACTTCCTGGTCGCTGCGGAGCGCAACCCGAAAATATTTAAGCTGAAGCATATTCACCCCGAGGTATGACTGTACCACGCTGACAGTTACACATCAACTGAAATTAACAAAGCTATCTATCCAACTAGGTTTCCAGATAAGTTCTGATAGTATAAAAGCCAGATTTCATCACCACAGCTGTACAGTCAGTCAAGTCAACAGGATTGCAATAGTTTAGCTGTTTACTGACCTGCCCATGACGCAGTTTCTAAGAAACGTACAGGGCATAAAGGATTTTTCAGGTAAAGGATTATTCAGGTAAATAATCAACCCAAGCTCAAAAGACTGATGTTTACATCCGTAGCTTTACAGACTGGAATAGCTCAGTCAGCAGAGCATGAGACTCTTAATCTAAATCATGGGTTCGAGCCCCACATTGGACAAAAGATTCCTGCACTACAGGGGGTTGGACTAGATGACCCTCATACTCCCTTCCAACTCCCCAATTCTATGATTCTAAGTGCATAATTATGTTGATACCACACATATTTTTATTTTTAGTTGCTCAACATCTCTCAAAGCAAGAGTCTCTTCTTAAAAATAAAGTATGAACTTACTATCTAGGAATAAGGGAGGAATTCAGCTCAGTCTGGATTTTAATGTGAACCCACCTAATTTGCAGTGTGCAAATTGAAACACAGTTATCCTTTGAAATTCATAAAATGCATGCATTGGTGAATATAAATATATTCACCAATGCATGCATTTTATATATACACACACACCAGGAAAAATTCATTGCACAAATGTTCATATTAGGAGAAATTTGCGCTAAAATGGTGATGAGTTTTGATGCAGATTTTTATTTTTGTAAGGCAAACAAATATGGAAATGTGAAGACTGAACTTAAGACTGGGGGGGGGAAGAGAAACTGAAAGATGCCAAAACTGACAGAGCTGTCCATCCTGATGACCATTCACTACACTTCAAAAGAGCTCCAGCTAGTTGGATATCTTACCTCAACTCCTACAGGGCCATCAGGTACTAGGTGAACCGGCTGCTCATTTTCCAAGTTCCTGGCACTGGGATCAGCTCCCTTCCGCATCAACAAGCGAACTGCATCCAGCTGACTCACCCGATGCTGCAAGCTGGCAGCTACATGGAGTGCGGTATTACCATTATACGCCTGGATGAGGTATAGAAGAAACACCATTATTCTTTTAAAAAATGTATACGCAGGATGCTTTGTTCCTTCAAGCAGCTACATGCTGAATTAGACATAGTGCTTTATGCTAATCTCTACTGCTGGCTCAACAGTAACGTACCTTGGCATTGATAAAGGAAAGGCAAGTAGGCAGCTCTAAAAACAAACGAAGGAGTTCCACATTTGCTTCTTCCGCTGCTAAGTGAAGGGCAGAACGGCCACTTTTACGATCCTGTCCAAGGGGATGGGGAGAAGCCCAGTTAATTTTGCACAATAAGCACTGAACCACTTACAAAATGCCAATAATAATAATAAATTGCATGAAAACATAAACTGCTCTACATAGTTTCTTTTATTTGTCCCTACAACTTCAGAGGTCGCCACTAATATTTCCATTTTACAGAAAGAAGATGAATCTAGGGGATAACAGGGGCACCTAACGATTCAAGGCTGGGGTGGGATTTGAAGTTTGGAACCTTTATCTCCCCTTGTCCGAGTTTAACAGTGTTGGGACACGATAACTCTAGAATAATTAAGACCAAGTAATTCCAAGCTTCGACTCCCAAGAGAACCTAGCTTTCAGTCTACTGCTGGATTTATCAGTGTTTGCACAACCCAGCAAGAGTCACCCATGATGAAATCCCAATTAAATTAATGAGACGCAAAACAATTCAAGCATGCTTACTCAGAAATAAGCCCCAGTGATTTCAATGTGGTTTACTTCCAAGTATGCTTAGAATTGCAGCCTCAGTTAGTTTAATGTTAGTTCCATTAAATTTAGTGGAATGTATACCCCTATCCTACACATGTCTACTGACAAGGGCTGATAATAGTCCAAAACATCTGGAGACTGAGGAAGACTGTCTGAAGCTGGTGCAGACACTGAAACAGTAGCTAAAAAATAGTATGTGACTCAACTCACTGACACAAATCTGGGCTTGTTATCATGATTTTCTTGTCGTACTTACTCTGGCTTCAACAGAGGCCCGCATCTCAATGAGAAATTTGATGGTGTCTGCCAACCTCTTGCCTTTCAACCTTAATTCCTGGACCTCAGGAGTGTGAGGTGACTGCTGGCTCTCTATGTCATGTACCACCGCATTATGAGCCACCACTGCACAGTGCAATGCTGTCAAACCTAATAATGAAACACAACAAGTGAGCAATTTTTAAAAACAACAACAACACTGTTTTGAATGACCCCCTTCTCCAATGACTGACTCAGAAACTTTAGTCAACCCAAGTACCAGTAAGCCAGGTTTCAACTGCTGTTTGTTTGTTTGCAATGCAAACCCTTAAAGGATTTTTAACCTGTTTCCAACATTACTTTAGAGAAAGAACTAAGGTAAAGTTGCTTGGCAACTGGAAGATGTAAAATTAAGTATACATATTTTTGAAAAGCCTTTCCACATATAGATACCCTTAACAAAAATATAGTTCAGGTTTACCAGATACCACTGTCCCAAATAAGAAAAGAATAAAAGATATCCACAGGTTTCAATGGGTAGTTATGATTTTTGATTCCTCTAATGACAGTGGCGCACCAACTTTTTGACTTAAATTACATGGGGCAGTCATCCTGCTACCATCATGTCCAGCTGCCTTGCATTCCCAACACAGTGGAGCAGGCTCTGATTTGTATATTGATGAGCTGGAGAGCATCAAGTGTAAGATCAAATATGAACGAGTACAGTGGTGCCTCGCAAGACGAAATTAATCCGTTCCGCGAATCTCTTCGTCTTGCGGTTTTTTCGTCTTGCGAAGCACAGCTATTAGCGGCTTAGCGGCTATTAGCGGCTTAGCGGCTATTAACGGCTTAGCGGCTATTAACAGCTTAGCGGCTTTAAGAAAAAGGAAACAAACCCGCAAGAACTCGCAAGACGTTTCGTCTTGCGAAGCAAGCCCATAGGGAAATTTGTCTTGCGGAAAGACTCAAAAAAACGCAAAACCCTTTCGTCTAGCGAGTTTTTCGTCTTGCGAGGCATTCGTCTTGCGGGGCACCACTGTATTTCACTAGCTTAAAGTATTTAGTAGAGTCCCTGATTGCCTTCCCCTGCTCCAAATGTTGCTTTGCATTTTTCTATTTTGAAGTGGATGTCAATAATAAAATATTCCTGTAAAATATTCCATATGAAATCCAAGGGCCTAAGCAGCAGCAACAACAAATTCAACATGTTTTTATTAGTTTTTTTGCCTAACACAACACAGAAAAAGGGACTCTTGGCTACTCACCATCATAATTTGTTGCCTCCCAGTCTACGTATTGGTTGCTTACAATGGCTCCTTTCTCAATTGCCTGTAGGTGCGAAATGAGAGCATAAGTTTATCCTGTACAACTACGCACAATGGTAACTGAAACCTCCACATATTATTCTAGATTATTTAGATTATTGTAACCAATATTATTCACTCAGTAAATCTACTGAGATGGCGTTCCACAGTCATGCAGAATATTAGAACTAAGGCTCACAGATTTTTTAAAAAATATTCAGTCCTTTTGTAAACTGCTTTTTGTAAATGGAATTAGTTATAGTGAAGCCTAAGTCTTTCTTAGCATTCTGCAGAAACAGCTACTCCAATTAAATTTCTTTAATGCTCTTTCTTTGCTCAATTTTATTACTTTTGGGGTGTGCTACAGGTTCCACATAGTATTACCACACACAGTCACTTCTAGGGGTAAAAACTACCTTTCTATACTCAGCTACACTCCTCCTATTGTGGGGAGAACAGGATGTGGTGAGAACTTAGCTGCCTTGTGAGTTGGGGAGTGGCATGTTCCACAGGTCATAACATGTAATGGAATACACGCTCCTTAGCAGTCATTTACCAGATTCCAAAGCATTAGTATTAGTATAACCCTCAAGTACTAGAGGCACCAAAGGAAAGGCGCGCACACACACACACACACACACACACACACACACACATATATATATATATATATATATATATATATATATATATAGGATCTTTACTGTACATGCTACATGTCAGGAGAAAGGGTGATAGTTGGAAGATTCAGCTCTGGCCGCTTACCTGAAGGACTTGTGCATGCCCCTTTTCAGCGCACACATGCAAAGGCGTCCTGCCCCAGCAATCTGTTGTATTCACTTGCGCCCCAAGGCTAACCAAGTCCTGTACAATGAGGTGCTGGTTTGCAGCCACAGCCACCTGCAGGGCACTCTGTAAGAATGAAAAACAAGATGTTCACCAAAATCCTACCAGAAAATAGCAATCACCGAAGTATAATGAAATATTCCCAATAAGCTACAACCATTTCAGAGTGCAGCTTGCCAATGTACTTCTAAGGCCACCGTTATAAATTAACCTTTGACGTTAATATTAACAGGCGTTCAAAGGTGTTTTGCATTAAGTCTTAGAGTCGTGCAGTGGAAGCCAGTTACGCTGAGAGCCTCACCTGGCCATTGTGTTCTTTAATATCCAGCATGTGTAGGGCTACCATCTTTCTTGCCAACACATAGGAAACTGCTCGGCGCCCCTGGGCAACTGCAATGTGGAGAAACCTGTGGGGAATAAATACTGTGTTTGTTTCCTTTTTAATATTGAAAAAGAACATGTGTTTAAGGTGTTATGAAAACCCCTTCCCTTAAAAATATCGTAAACCCCAAACAACTTATGGAACTTGCAGACTGCAAGGGATACCATAAATCATTACACTGTTGAATGCACACCTCAATTTAATCCCATTTTGAAGGGCAGCCATAGACGTCTGTGTGACATATTATTTTTAATGCACAATACAATAATTGACAATTAACGAGAGAGGTGTCTTATTGCAAGCATATTATCTCCATTTTAGTACTGGTTAACAGCATGAACAAAACTCACGTGTCACCATCAGCGTCTTTGGCAAGAATTTGATCTTGAGAGATGTTGGCCAGTTTGCTTTCTTCCTGTTCCACTTGCCACTGGAAGAAGGATTTGCCCAGCTGCGCTGTGTTCCTGGCGATACCCTGATGTTGCACAGACATATTTGAAGTAGCCAATGGTACGCCATGTTCTTCAAGAGCACCACAGAAATTACTGGGTAGCTGACTGAAATTCTGAGGGTGGCTGCTGACATCAGTTTGCTGAGGAAGTGGTTGAGGGAGGGGGGCAGAGATGTCTGACCCTTCTGAATCACTTAAGAGAGAAGCAAAGCTTTGAGTAGGGCAGTACTGCAGTTCTTGGCTTTCAAAAACATGCTGATAGTCAGAGGACTGGCTGCTAGTGGAGTGCGGCCTGCAATCCATAAGGGGATTGTAATGCTGAGACAAGTTCTGGGTCTGTGTGGAAGAAAACTGATAATTCTGGGGTAGCTCCATCATCTGTGAGGGGCTGCTTGCTTGAAATGCTTGGTACCTTTGAGGAGGTGACAAAGCTTGTGTTCCAACCATCTCTTGATACTGTTCCCCTGGAGAGTTAGCATTAGTCATGGTGTGAAGCCAGCTCACTTGCACTGTGTTCAAAGAAACTGGGCAGGATTCATTCTTAATATTCATAATGTTCTGCAGCATATCACAACTGCTGTCTTGTTTGGGATCATTCATATGGGTGTCCTCCATGTTGCTATCCATTGATGTTGGTGTCTGTGGAGGTGTCTGTAAAATAAGAGCATGCAAATTTTGAATGATCCTGCGCAGGTGAGAAATGTGTTTCAATGTGAGCAATGACTAGAAAAATACATACCAGGAGGTGAGGTTGGAAAGGAGCTGTTCTTTTATAACAGGATACATCTGAAAATGAGTCCTGAGCTTTTCTTTTTCGACCATTAGTTAATATGTTCTTCAACTCTAATGAAAAAAAGAAGAAAAAAAGCTAAGTTTCAGTTTGTACCCTGCTTTTCAAGTATGCTTTTCTAAATACTAACACATCTAAAGTACTTAAAGGATATAAGTAAAACACTGTACCTGTGTATGGGTCATAATTTGGTAATCCTCCGTGTACCTGTTTTTTAAAATTAAAAAATGGAATTATTTATAATATAGTGAAAACGTTCTCTCCAAGTCTTAAGGCAGCTCTAATGACAAGAGGAACCATGCTAACTTTTTCTAATGTTATATTAATTAAGTTCTAAAATCACATTAAAATGTTCTGAAAAATCAGTACACTCTAGATATTTTCAGGAATGTTTTGAGAAGAAGCCCGTCAGATGCAGACTGCAATCCTTTACAGCTTTACCTGGAAGTAAGACCCATGGAACTCAATGAGCTGAGTAGATATGCATAGGACTGCACTGTCCTAAAACTCCATTATTAGTTACAGCTTTTACAATGTATTCTGATTCATCCAAACAAAGCCAAGCAAACTCACTAGGAGTTTCAACCTGCTATGTTATCTACTACTCCAGTATGGTACAGGATAATTTTAACAAAACAAAATGTGGCGGGAAAATAGCTTTTACAGTTAATCTTCCAAGCATTTCAACATATTACTCATAAATGTGAAGAGTAGCTGACTGAAAAATTTGCATGTGTGCAGGTAATTTCTGAAAATATTGTTATTCAAACTGATATCTGATTCTTACTTTGTTTGGAAAGCATTACCTCTCTGAACGAGCCAGTAATATCACAAAAGTATATGCATTTTCAGAATCTTAAATATTTCCAGATGATGTTGTTTTGTCATTATAGCTTAATCATACAGTTATATATTTGCAAGACAATTCAAGGAATGTATGAATAAGTTTGTAGAACTTGCTAATTTTAAAATCTGTAGCACCTGCAGATACATGCTTAAACTGGTACACAGAACTGCTGTATGAAGAGGACCCTACATAATGAAATTTTTATATTGCTGTTTTCTAAAGCTTTTTTCCTATATATCAATAATGAATTTACTGTGCAACTGCTGGCCCTTATGTAGCTAAAACAGCACAAGCCATAACAACAACAACAACAAGCAGCATTTATATGCTGACTTTCTGCCAAGGCTGATTTACAATTTTAAAGGACTAAAACAAATGATATAAAATTTAAAGTTTAACTATGTAGAAGGGGGAGGGGTAAAGTTCTCAGGGAAAACAAAACACAGAATCGCTGATTATGAAAATAAGAACTGCCATTTTAGATCAGACCAAAGCTCTACCAAGCAGAACGTTTGCTCACCATCAGACTATACATCTGCAGAAAGTGCTAGTTTTATGATTCCAGCATCTGCCATACTTCTTTGAATTTATGAACATTCCATTTTTAGCTATCAAATCTTATATTCACCGACAAATTGAGGCGCAACAAATTTCTTTTTTTCAAAGGTAGGCAAGCTAGCTGCCATTAATTACCCTATCTAACAGGAATGAATTCCATATGCTAATTATGCCCTGTATACAGTTGTACGCTACTGACATTTTAAAAGATGAGAGACTGTGCCATTTATAATTCTGAATAAAATTATTTTAAAAGAAAAGTAATGTTCCGCACCTTTAATTCATCTGCACCATGGTCTGAGGACATCTGCTTGCTGTTTCTGAGGTGCAGCAACAGCTCTTTCACTGAGTTTTTCACACGAACACCTTGAAAAGGTCCTCTTTGTTGCTTTCCTCCCCCCATACGTTGCTCAACTGTTGAGACACAAACAATGAGAAATAAAATAAAACACTGATAACAATTAAACAGATTATTGAGTTTTTTAAGAGAGGGTGGATTTGTACATAATTTTAGCCAAGAAACATAGCTAATCCTAAATTAATTACACAAAACCTTAAAAGTATGTCCCATATAAAGGATATTTTAGCATTAACATGGCTTTACGTGAATGAATTTTCAGAATTACTTGTGCCTGTCACCTCCATAATGAATCCACTTGTCCAAGAAAATGTGCAACCAAAGAGATGAACTGGAAATATTACATTCATTCTCTTATGTCATCATTCCTTTTAACATAGTCTACTCTGAAGGTGAAAAAACAGAAGTGAAAAGAGGAAACAACAATGTACTGTAATACTATCCAAGAGAGAAGTTGTGACTTCATTTTAAAAAGTACAAACCCTTCCAAGTTTATATATAGAAGCACTGTGGTTTACACTACATTTAAATAATCTGAAAAACCAATTGCTGGAGAACTGGAATTTCTGTCTAGAAAAAAAAAAAAACACCACCCCAATTTATGGGCAAATGATTTCCTCTTTACAGGTATGTCTAGTTAAAGCAATTAATTGTCCTTCATTAAATTGCCTTATATTGTATCTTTCAAGACAGAACTGGTGTCTACTTGAGAAAATATTGTGAAAGCAATCAAAAACAAAACAAAATATTTCAATTAATAAACTACTTCAGATTATTACTTGTAGAAAATACAAACCAATGTAAAATAAAAAATATAGTACAACAATAGTTTTCTTATGGAAAAAGATCAAACTGGCCAGAGAAAGAAAATCATCACACTATTTTAATATTATGAAGATACACACAACCGATATTGTTATGCTACCTTTTAAGATAATTCCTGAATGAAAGAAAATTTGTGGAAGCAACTTCAGCACTAAAAACACCATGAAATTATATAAAAAGACAACTGAGGTTCTTAACTGTATATCATTTCAACTGCAACAGGTGCATAAGAAACTAAAGCCATTACAGTTATAAGAAGCACTATTTGGAAATAAAAAATATTACATTGTTTAAATAAATTGTGCCTCTCTGCCTATTTATATTTGGTATAGATAGCTTTGTCCTTGTTCACTCCACACAACATGTTGTACAAAAAATAAAAGTGAAATCTTTCTACATAATGAATTGTGTTAGCAAGTCAATACAAAACGTTCAACTTTCATGAAGTGTTATAAGATTCAAAAGCCTGAGTATGAGTCATTTCAGAAAAGTTACCAGACTTAGCCATTTTCTTTTCCAGTTAAATTGGGGGAACCACACTAATCTATTTTATCTTCCAGTACCTGGAATTTTAATTGAACTTTATTTGCAAATCACACTAATGTGCTTAACAAATTATTTGATTTCTCCCTCAGTAATACAGCAAACAACTATAACGAAAAGTTAATACAAGCCAGAATTTTGCAAATTTGTACTTCCTGAACACAAACACACACAAGAAATAATTGACAGAAGATTCTACCTCACTGGAAAGGGTCAGTAGGATAAACTCGCCTCAGACCCACATTAATTGGCATGACTGTAGTATCCTGCTTACACGCTGCTTAATTCTACCTAAAAGCTTAAGGACATTTCATACCTGAAAATACTGGTGAATTCCAAACTAACTGATATAAGACGCCTTAACTACAATTTTTCAGTTTCTTCACGAAATGGATACAAACTGCTGGCACTTCAGCAGCCTGCCGTGTTGTGCACTTGGGGAAAGAGGGAAAGAGTGCTTCTTGAGGTGGCTTTTACAACTGCATCGTTCAGATATTGCAAACGGTTGGTGTCAACAAGTTTCTTTCATTTATTGGGATACTCCATGCAAAGGGTGAATCTAGACCAATGGGGGGGGGGGAGTTGCATCTTGATGCCCATGCACTCAAGCATGAGCGGGACTGATCTCACAATAAGCACCCAAAGCAACTTCCACAACCTTCATAAAACCCTTTCACCAACAGAGCAGCACTGGGGGATGTGCAGGTGCAAAGTGTATTGCAACTTGAGATAAGAAACTCAAGGTGACTTTGGACATATGTTTACCATACTGTACTAAAAATCCATAGACCTTTTTCATTATGGAGCCGAGAACACATTCAATGCACTTGGTGGAGCCTAGGCTGGTTTACAGTAATGGTCACTTCCCACGTTATGCTTGGGCATACTGAAATACTTGTGTGTATTTCACCTTTTCAGCCACTGATGTGCTTTCTCTTTGTGTGTGTGTCTGTGTGCACACTCGCATGCAAAGCGCTCCCCTTGCCCACCAATAACAAGCAACTCTGCACTAACTTGCAAATCGGAATGAGGCACTTTGAGCTGTGCGGCTGTATATGTTCATAGCTGTCAACCTTCCCTTTTTTTGTTGGAAATTCCCTTATTCCAGTGCCATTTCCTGCTGCTTCCCGCTGCTATCCCGGATTGTTAGATATCCCGTAGACTGTCCCCGGGTCAGGTGAGGCTGTTGATCCCTTATTTTCAAATCTGAAAGTTGACAGCTATGGCATATGTTGCAGCAACATACAAACAGGAACCCATGCAGTTTGGAAGGGCGAATTAGTGCCTAACCAAAGAAGCCATCTTTTTCAACAGCGCTGAGAGTAAAGCTACACGGTGGCAGGGAAAGGAACTCAGAAACTAGCCCCCTGAAGGAGACTATGATCCTGGGTTTCCAGACAGGCGTGCATTGCAGGATCCGAGCTCATAGAATCACAGAACTGTATAGCTGGAAGGCACCCCGAGGGTAATCTAGTCCAACCCCTGGAATGCTGGAAACTCAACTGTTCCAAGTTTTCCAAAGCAGCCACGCAACGCAATTGGCATCAACATCTATACGGTTTTGAGGGTGGAATGGTATTATTTGTTTTTGTAACAGTCTTTGTTTTATTGGGACCTGGTGGGATATGCATGCATATGCATACGAATACGCATACGAAAACACACAAACACACACTCTCTCTCTCGCCCGTCATTTAATCCGGATTCACCCTTTCCAATAAATATTTGTCAAGCTTTAAAAGAACATGCTGTTGCCAGCGTCCCGTAAGTGGTACCTGAACGACCCTTCTGGAATTTTAAGTGCCCCCCTCCCCGCTGTCGTCTCGCACTGACTGCAGCAGCCCCTTTATCCTCTCCTCGCCCCAAACCTATCCAAACAACCGAAGTGCCGCGGAGCGTGAGCGCGCTCTCACCGCTCAGAGCGGCTTGCCAAAGGCGCAAAGGAGACTTTATATATACCACATAAAAAAGAAAGGAAAAGCGGCGGGATACTAAACGCGACGGACCGGCGACACCACCCTCTGAACGGCCCCCTCGCCTCAGACCGCTCCGTCGAAGAAGCGGCGTAGAAATCCCTCCGCCCCGAAGGTTTGTTTTTGGGACTGCGCGCGCGACGGATGTAGGAAATCTGTATACCTTCCCCGGCTGAGCGCGCGCCGCGCCGGGAATAGCGCCTCGCGCCGAAGTCGCCGCCGCAGCTACTGTGGCTCGAGTCGGACCCCGGGGACCCCGGCGAGGAGTGCGTGGGCGAGCAACTCCCCTCGCTGGAGTGGGGAGAAGCTCCGTAAAAAAAGGCCAGGTTAAAAGGGCTGCTGATGGAACCGTCGACGCCGCCGCCGCCGTCCGGCAGCTCGTCGCGGCTGCTGTCCACAATCATGACGGCTGGTGTCGCGCGGATGGCGAGGAAGAGGCAGGCGGCTGCTTGGGTTCAGCCGGTGCGCTGACGGGGACGGGAAAGGGCTCGGCAGGCGGAGGCGGTTGCGACGGCTCTTATAGCGCCTCCACGCCCCGGCGACGAGGCGGGGGGAGGAGGCGGGGCGGGGCGCGGCTGCGTCTCTGCAAGCGGCCCTTCCAGTAAGTAGGTCGCCGGCCTCTGTCAACAGCCCTCCCGGCCCTCTCGTGACTCGCCGCCTGACTGCCTGGCAGGAGGAGTGGGCTCAGGAGTTGCCTCCAAGCAACCCGAAGGAGCCTCGCCCGCCGTGGCGCGCCATTGGGCACCTGGCGGCGGCTGCAGCGGGAGCATGGAAAGGGAACGGTTTGGAGAATTTACCCGGCGCTCAGAGAGAGGCGGCTTGCCGCCGCTTCGTGTTCTTCGGCGCCGTGTCCCGCTGAGGAGAAGGGCCACGGGGGAAGACCTCGGCAGCTAGGGTGGTCTCTCTTTACATATGCCCTGTGCGTGACGAGGCGGCTAGGCGGACGCAGCTCTGTCCGATGAAGTTGGCGGTGATACCCGTGCCCCTGTTGCTCCAGTTAACATTTTCCTAAACCAAGAGATATGACCGAGATGTATGAAAATTAAGCGTGGCTGCTTCTCCCTCTAGAAAGGTGGTGGCCAAACTTGGCCCTCCAGCTGTTTTGGGACTACAACTCCCATCATCCCTAGCTAACAGGACCATTGGTCAGGGATGATGGGAATTGTAGTCCCAAAACAGCTGGAGGGCCAAGTTTGGCCACCACTGCTCTAGATCAGTTCTAACATTTGGGAGTGTGCCTATGAAGCTGAACAGTGGGAAATTAAGGACAAAGAATGTACCTCTCGTAGTCGAACTATGGAATTTATTTCCGCAAGATAGATGGCAATGAGATTTTGCATTGGTATGGTTGGAGCTGAGAATTAATCTGTCTTCATAGAAGGTGTGACTACTTCCACTTGTCTGCAATTCCTACCTGCATTTATTGTTAATAATAATAATAAATTAGCACTATTAACCCAAGCAATCCCATTCAGATGATGAAACTCCACTGCAGCTCTCACTGTCAACCCTTAGCTTGGTTATCTGTTATCACCCTGTTTCCAAATATATTATGGCATAAGCCAGGCTTCTCCAACTTGGTGGCCTCCCAATATTGTTGGCCTACAACTCCCATCAATCCCAACCATCAAGGCCATGGGTGATGGGAAGGTCATGGGTGATGGGAATTGAAGTCCAGGAACATCTTGAGGGCCACAGGTTCCCCATCCCTGACATGCCATAATTAAAAGGGTACAGGATTGCCCCTTTAGCGAAGGTAACAAAAAAAGCATCCACCATTACAAGCTTCCAAACGCTATACCTTATAAATAAATATTCAATTTATTAAGCTAATAAACTGAAACATGATGTACATGATCTGTCTAATGAGGGTTATGAATGTTCCTAATTGATAAAATATAAATTGCCAAAGGGACACCAAATTTTAAAATGCTGAAAACTAATACATTATCCCTTTAATATAGGCATGTATTTTCCTAATTTTTGTTAAAAACAAACAAACTGCATATATATATTATTCAAGGTTGTTGAAGAAGGCACATTTTCATTGGTTTGCTAAAGTTCTGGGCAGCATTCTAAAGGTTAGCAAGGTCTTCCTGCTTCACAGTTGCAAATTATTCATTTTAGCAACTAAAATAAAACTCTGTTCATTCAGTTTAAATTTTGAAGCAAGAATTTTGCCACTGCATGAACATTTGTGGAGGGGACAACCTAGTGGATACTGTGTGCGACACCTTTTCCATATGGGGAATATAGAGTGCCTGGGACCATCAATATTCCTTGCATTGTCCTGGTCCTCTCTCTCCTTATGAAGTATCTGAGCCTTACTATATTATTAGATGAATCCTTCTGTGAGTTGGCCCATGTGTGTTTGTTGTTTCCATCAGTGGCTGGCAGACGCATTAAACACTGGGAGGGATCCCTCTTCTAGCACTTTTAATCATCATTATGCTGGCTCACCACATTTTTTAAAAGAAGTGTTTTGTTTTCCATTACAACGATAATAAACCGACAGTTTTAAGAAACACTGGAGTACTAGTATTCTTACCACATTACCCAATTTCCTCTCTGATTTCGCACTTCCGCTGCAAGACGTTAAAACATTGCCAAATCTACAGCTCTATGTCTCCCCATGCACCAAAAGCAAAATTGATGCTGGAGTACTTTATGTACTTTATGAAAAGCATCCAAGAATCTCTGAATTTGTCCTTCACTCTAGGTCCTCTGCTAAAACTGTGGTGTTCCATAAGTTTCTCGAGTAACAGGAGCTGCGAGACCTTGGGAAACCAATCCTTATACGTACTGATATTTCTGCCCAAGCAGCAACCAATACAAACACAAAAATATCCTTATGTGCTTGTTCCCCTTTGGGGTTTCTGAAAGCAACAGCAGAGCTTGTGTTGTATCCTGAACCTGTCAAGAGAAGCTAAACGCCGACACTCAGAAACTCCGAATCCAGTGAAGGCTGGATGGCACTACAGTATCCAGTGAAGGCTGTATAGCACTACAGTAAGACTAAATGGCATGAGAGTTCAAGTATTTAGAAGAGGGGAAAATATCACCCCGTTCCGGATTTGGGCTTAAAAGACCAAGGGAAAGTGTGGGTGCATGGGGGGTGAAATTGTAAGGAATCATTATTTGTGGGATTTCACAACATTATTGCTGATCATAGGCTGTTGTTGCAGCATAGGTGGTCTTCTGGAAACCGGAGAAAGAGCAAGATGGAATCGTCTTACTCCACTGTGGGGATTTTTAAACATGGATGTGTTTCTGAAGAAGTGATTCCACTTTGTGCATTCTGATGTGCTGCTGTCATAGAAAGGCCTTTAGTAGCCTTTCCAGGAACAAGAATTGTTTAACATTCCTTCAGAAGGTCTACACAAGCCAAGATTTCTTTTACTTGTGCACTGCTCTCTCAGACTCCTACAGCTGAGAATTTATTTGAAGGGAATGAAGAGGCAAGGTAGCCCCTCCTCCAGGAGAGCCTAAAGTGATCACCTAATTGACATATTAGGTGATTAATTATGTTAGTTATATTAACATAATTAAGGGACGCGGGTGGCACTGTGGGTTAAACCACAGAGCCTAGGGCTTGCCGATCAGAAGGTCGGCAGTTTGAATCCCCGCGACGGGGTGAGCTCCCGTTGCTTGGTCCCTGCTTCTGCCAACCTAGCAGTTCAAAAGCACATCAAAGTGCAAGTAGAAGGTAAGGTAAACGGCATTTCCGTGTGCTGCTCTGGTTCGCCAGAAGCGGCTTAGTCATGCTGGCCACATGACCCAGAATCTGTACGGCCGGCTCCCTCGGCCAATAAAAGCGAGATGAGCGCCGCAACCCCAGAGTCGGCCACCACTGGACCTAATGGTCAGGGGTCCCTTTACCTTTACCTTTAATTAACATATCCTACAGTCACATGCAGAAACCCCTCCAAAATGTACAACTCTTCATCTGGACAGAAAAAATGTAAATGAAGTCTAAAAAAATTGAGTAGGAGGGAATATCCTGAAATGAATACTCCATTTCTTACTACAGTTACCAACAGAAATTCTGTGTGGCATGGACATCTTCAGCAGAACTACAAGCAGAACTCAAATACCACTGAAGTGCTACCAAATGAAGACCAGTGTATCACAGAAACAGGATCTTCCACCCTGAAGTCCTAAACACCCCAACTTAAACCCACCAGTATGCTCAACATTTACTTCACAATTCAAATCTACTGAGGCCAAACTTCTGTTGAGCTTTTGCAGGGGGGAGGATGAGCCAAAGTCGTTGAGCTTTTTTGGGGGGACCATCAGCCAAAGTTGTTGAGTTTTTTTGGGGGGGGGAGATGGGGGTCTCGCGATCGACCAGTAGATCACGAGATACTCTGGATAAAAAGCAGTACTGCAGTAGTAGTAGTATCAGTATCAGTATCAGTAGTAGTAGTATCAGTTGAAATTGCACATAGTATCTGTTCACATAGCTTACTGTGTCAAATAGATTGCTCTTTTTCTGTTTTCCTTTCATTCCATGAATTCATAAACTTGAAACACAAAATGGAGGAGTTTTTAAAAGTGAAAGTGTTTTCCAAGTGTGAAGAAACTAAACAGTCATGCTCAAGGTTTTAATCTGCATCATGATTTGTCAGTTAATTGCACAACTTTTTGAGCTTTGAAACTGATGGCACTAAACAGAGAATCCCCCCCCCCCCACTTACACAGAACTTTAGGTACTGTATTATCATTGATATTCCAGATCTATGGGCCTCTATATGGAAATTTTTTCAAGCTAAAATGACAGCTTTCTGAAGGAAATGCTCCAGCTATCCCATTTTGACAAGGAACACCAGCTTAATTAAATAGTACTGGTGATTCGGTCATGCAGACACACAGACAGCCTAGTTAAGCCAGAGATAGGAATATTAAAGTTCCGTGATTTCCAAGGTAGAGTTAAAAGAACTTTTAAATCTCATTAACTTTGAGGTAAATATAAATGTGGATCATGGAATGCAGTGTCTTGGTAATTTGATTGTTCTGTCAGTGCAAGCTTTTGCTTTTTCCCCCCTTTCATTTTGATGTTTTAGTCTAGTAACCTTAGCACCCATTGGGAATGGATCAACCAATTCTCTTTTTGCAGTTTAAGGAGATGAGAAGCTAGGTTGTTCCCCCTGCCACCTGCTTCTTGGACAAAACCTATTTCCTCTTCAACAGTTGGGCCTAGTGGACATTATCAAGGTTTCCAAAGCACTTCTGAATTTTTTTAATCAGGTTCTTAACATGATGTGAGATGAGTGGGAGGGATTACAGGGCTGGGCAATTCAGAGTAGGTGACTCAACCTTAGATTGAAAAGGTGGAGACCCATCTCCAAGTGGTTTGCCAAAATAATATGGCCCTACAGTGTTTCATCAGATCTCTAATAGGATT